AAGCCCTGCCGGTTGTGGTTTGCAAAATCGGGGAGCGTTTCCCTTCCCCTCGCCCTGCTTTCTTCCCGGGTTTCTCCGTCGGACGATGCAGCGGGAGGGAAGCTGTGACCGTGTAAATTGGGCACTGCCAGGATCCGGAGGGATCCGGGGAGGCTGTGGTTGGTGCTGGATGTTTGGGAGCTGGGATTGCATCGTTAATTGCAAATATATCGATGGAGAAACGAGCTCTCAGGCATCATGGAGAGCGCAGCGGTCTCCTGGGCTCCTGCAAACCCCGCTCCAGCCGAAGTGCAGATTTCCAAGCCCTGGATTCCGATCCGTGCCTCCTGCAGTGGCTTACCCAGGATTGAAAATCCTTTTTGTTTATACCTTTGTGTAAATTATTCAGATTTTATTTCCTGACAACCTCCAGACTCCTAAATAACGGTGCCGAGTGCCTCTGTCGGTCTGCAACAGGGATGCAGAAGTGTCTCTAATTTACAGATAAAATTTTTTTCTCCGCGTTAGACCTTTCGTAATACACTTCAGATGAACGGAGAAGCAGCCAAGCTGGTGGGAAAGAAATCAGTGCAGGTCCCCGGAGACTTTCCCTTTGCCTGGAGAGGAGGGAAGGTCCTGAGCCGCAGGAAGCACCTGCAATTCGATCGAAAAGTTGATTCCCCGGAGCCGAGTCCTCCCGCGGCTCGGTGCAGCTGGGGAGGGGTGGAGGAGACTTTTTGCAGAGCAGGCGGAGCAGCATCCGGGGTTGTTGCTGCTCTGCCAGGGTCCTGGGATGGAGGTGACACCCTGGAGGCCACCAAAAGCCGTGATGTGACAATCGGGGTGGATGCTGGGGGGTTAGTTACGCAGATTTTTATAACTTCAGGTCATGAAGGACGCTGCTCCGGAGCTGAACGTGAGCAGCTCAGAAGCTGAAGAGGAAAGGGAGGAAAACAAACCCGAGGGGGAACAAGACCCAGATTTTAACCAGGTAGAAAAAAAAAAAAATCAAAAAATACCGCCAGGCGCCACGGTTTTGAGCCAGCATGGCAGGAGAGCATCCTCCTCCAAACCATGAGCGGGCGAGAACAGCCGCCCTTTAAATTCCCATTTCAATGAGAATAAAACCACGCCATCGTTTCGGTTTTTTGGGGAAATATTGACGGCGACTCGTGTGCTTGGCCGGTAATCCGCCCGGCACTGTCGTTAGGAGCAAGAACCGAGTTTTCCAGGCACATCCTTCGGTCCTCTCGCTGCTCACAGGTGGCTTTTGAGCTTTCCATGGGGCTTTTCGGCGCTTCCTGCCGTCCCTCGCGTCACCGACTCGCCCGAAACACAGCCCAGGGTACGGGGGAGGTTGTATTTTCCCCAAATCCCAAATTCAGGCTCCTGATTTATGTTTTTTTTAACCTCTCATTTGCAGACCAATGGCGGTGCGAAGCGCCAGAAGATCTCGCACCAGAACTACATCACTTACCAAAAACAGGGCATCAGGCGGAGCACCCGGCACCGCAAAGTGCGAGGGGAGAAAGCCTTCCTCGTCTCGGCAAATCAGACGCTGAAAGACCTGAAAATACAGGTAACGGGGTTTTTTTTTTTCTTTTTCCTCCAAGAAATGAGTCATGTTGAGTGAAAAACCCCAAAATCGGGAGCACATGGCTGGGAGGGGATGGAGAGGAGGAGTATAAAATCCCACGTGGGGTCGAAAAGCGCACGGTGCTCTTCTAAACATATTTTTTTGTGCCTCAGCGGTATTTATTTTTTTTTTTCCCTTGGCACAAAATCCACGTGTCTCGTCGTGTCGCCGCAGATCATGAACGCCTTTTCGGTCGCAACCTTCGACCAGAATTTATCCATCGACGGGAAGATCCTGAGCGACGACACGGCGACACTGGGCAGCCTGGGAGTCATCCCGGAATCCGTCATTTTATTAAAGGTAACGTCGGAGCGCCGCTGCCGAAATCAAGTCGGATCTGCTGAAATAAAGCAGAAAATTGAGCTGATTTTTGGCCAACTAAAGAAAAACACGTTGCGGCGCCTGTAAAAACTCGCCGTGCCCGCCCGCGGCCGCTCGATTTAACAGATTCCCCCTGCAGCTCCCCCTGGGAGGAGGAAGATCCTCGGCAGGACCGGGAGCTGAGCAGGATGTGAGCTTCCAAACGATTTTCCCCGCTCGTTAATCCCCGGCTCCGCTTTCTTTTCCAGGCTGATGAACCCATCGCGGATTACGCCGCCATGGACGACATTATGCAAGGTGGGGCCGGGGGGACGCCCGCGAGGTTTCGGGGCTCTGGGGAAGGCGTCTTGTCCTCTGATTTTGGGGAGAATCTTTTTGGCTGAGGTCTGTGTTGGATTTAGGGTGTAAATGGAGAAAATAAAGATGTTGGAGCTTTTCTGTCGCCGTCGACGGGAGATTCAAACAAAAGATCTTTTACAAACGATTTGTTGGGAATTTTTTAATGCTTTTTTTTTTTTTTTTCTTTCCCTCCCCAGTTTGTATGCCTGAAGAAGGATTTAAAGGTGAGTCTGGGGGATTTTTTTTTTTTAATTTTTTTTTTTTTTAACCTCCCCTTTCTGTAAACCCACGCTAACTCCATCTCCGTCCCATAATCACCCTCGTCTTCTGGCCATTGTCTTTTCTCCCCAGGGACTGGTTTACTTGGACACTGATGGTTTTCAAAGCATTGGCAAGAGGAGCAACCGGATGGGAAGAGTATTTTGACATGGGTAGGGCATTAAAAGAAAAAGAAAAAAAAAAAAAAAGAAAAAAAATTCTTTGACTCTTCCAGAAGGCAGAAACCCATTCTGAAATGACTGCCCCCCTCCCGAAAAAAAAAAAATAAAAAGCCTTATGTCAAAGCAGATTGCACTGAAGGACACCCTGCCTTGGAGAGAACGTTCCCGGTTTTATATTTAATAAAAGCCACACGAAGGTTGGGAAGCTCCGCGGCCGTCAAGAGCGGATGGTGGCTCCCCGCGAGGCGGACGGAGGCGATCCCGTGTTTTCCCCGACTCCCATCCCGCGCTCTGCCCGGATCCGAACCGTCTCCATCCCTTCTCCGGGAATTCTTTAGGCGTAACCTGCTCCTCGATCGTCATCCGCTCTTTTTTCCGTACAGCATGGAAGTCAAGAAATCTCTGACTTTTGAAGAACGTGTCTCGCTCGTTGGAACAAAATTTCATTATTTCACCCCGACCGCGAGCCGCGCGCTGCCTCCGCCAGCCGCCTTTCCAGCCGCTCCCCTTCGCTTCCCAACGGTTCATCCTTCAAACCTTGTCAGCCGATGGGTTTTTAGCATTTTAACAACTTTTCACAACATCTTTTTCCTCCGCTCCGGGATTGCCGGGAGCATTTTGCCCCGGGAGGGCGAAGGGAGCGTGGCCGGGCGGCGTTTCCCGTGGGGAGAGGGTTGGTTTGGGGTTTTTTTTTTTTCTCCAATTTTTCTCAATTCTCCTTCTTTTTCAGGAATGCACTAATCATTCTTTCGGGTTTTTTTACACCTCCCAAGAAGGATCCCTGGCGCAGGAAATCCCGCACCGCGTCCCGACTTAATTAAAAAAAAACCATTTTGCTGTATCTCTGTTAGAAAATTACGACATTTCCTCTTTTTCAGCTTTTTAACTCGTTTCCGCGGCAAAATTTGACGCGCAGTCAGGCACCAGCCTCATATTTAAAGAATTCCAGGAGTTTGGGGCT